GGGTTCTTAGGGTGAAGTCCCACCCCTATCATTTGGCCTTCAATGCCCTGGAAAAGTGGTCCCTGATAGTTTTCTAGCCTCATTTTTGTAGGTAGTTAGCCCTCTATCCCCTGTCCACATGTGACACCACAGCAGTGCTTCAAGGGGGTTCTTGTGTTTCATCTCTCCAACTCCCTCTTTCCTCTGATGAAATGAGCTCTCTATATCTCCCACCCCAATCTGTACTCTGGGCTACTCCTTCCAGGTTTATGATCTCAGTGAACCATTGCTTCCTTCTAAGAGGACTACTCACACCTCCAAACTGGTTGAGGTGGCCCTGTTCTGTGTGCTGCAGCACCCCAAACATCCCTTATCTGAACACCTAGTTTAATGAAAGGAGACTGCTCCGTAACCTACCTTCCTTGTGAATTCTGTGAAAACAGGGCTTTGTCTTTTGCATCATCCCCAGTATTTAGCATAATCTGTGACAGTAAGAAAGAATTCACTAAACACTTACTGAATTTTTGGACTGCTTCAGTTTTCCTGGCCAGGACCTCAGGGCAAGTTAAATGATGAGGGTCATCCTTACTGCCTAAAAGACATGTCAAGGGGCAGGGTCTCCACTGTGCTCTACCATGCCAGGCTGCAGTGCTATCCGCTTGCCTATTTCCAGTGGTTTCTGTTCCTTATCTGTCGTGGGTTATGCTTTATAGAGTCTGAATACAGAGCCATTTATTGCCATGTAACATCTTATATCCCTTCATCTCCAGACTCTGTGCATTCTTGTAGATTTTATCTTTGATCCTGGGGGAGTCACAGAGCTCTGAGTAGCATCCCTGGTGCCAGGTCACTGAAAGAGCCCTGCTACAGACAGAGGTTCTAAATGTATCTCCCTCTGTTCTAGGAGCTCCTGATCGTTCAGGGTCCAGAGCAGAAAGTAAGTTTGTTTGATGGAACCTGAAGACAAACTCCAAGCACCAAGGACAGAGCTGACACCTAGTCTCTGTTCTCCCCCTGCTCCTGACAGCGCTCCCCAGACTTCTGATCCATCTGTGAAAGGGTTAGCACTTCCCCTGGAGGACTGTGACTATTTCTTACAGATTTCCTTGATGGTGATGGGACTGGGTTGTAATACATTTTTGCCAAATTTTTCATGAATTTGATTTATGACATAAAATCACTTCTAGTTATACATGCATCCTGGTCTCATCTGTCCTTTGTTTCTTGACCCCAATGACCTTAAAAGGGTCATAACTCCAGGGGATGGGAAGTCATTTGTTCACTAATAGTCAACTCATTCACTCTATTAACTGCCCATCCACTGGCGGTCCTGTGACAGCTTTGTCTGGGAGACTAAAATGTGCTCTTGAACCTCAATAAAGAAGTGGTTGTGGATATAGGGGCAATAACTAAAGCACTCCAATAGTGAACCTGACCAGTCTGAAATATCTCCCCTGAAAGGAAGTCTAATTGCACACCACAAGGGTTTAGAATTGGTCTTGGCTTCAGAGGTCTTAGGCAATCAATGCACACCTTCAGCATTTGATTCATTTTTTTTGGAAAAAGAGAATTTCAACTTTCTAGAAGTTAAGATAGAAAACTAGGAAACTAATGTCAAAAACCAACGTCCACACCATTTTCCTGGGCTTCCTAGGCGGTGCTAGTGGTAAAGAACCTGTCTGCCAATGCAGGAGACGTAAGAGACTCGGGTTTGAACCCTGGGTTAGGAAGGTCCCCTGGAGGAAGGCATGGCAACCCACTCCAGTATTCTTGCTTGGAGAATCCCATGGATAGAGGAGCCTGGCAGGCTACAGTCCATAGAGTCATAGGGAGTCAGACAGGACTGAAACGACTTAGCATGCATGCACACCATTTTTTCATTGCATGATGGCCCTCCGCCAGCAACTCCCCTCTGTTTTAACTTGATTAAAATCGTGTGATCACATATAACCAGGCAGAATCAAACTCTGAGAATCAAACTCTGCCACTGCGCTTGACTCTTTGGGCCTCAGTCTACCCTACATGGAGGATGGGGAGAAGGGTACTACAACTTCTGATGAGAAGGCTTTCGAGTTCTTCTTTTGCTCCAAGAAAAGTCAGCTGACCAGGTCTGGGAAGCAGGACTGAGGCAGGTGCAGGAATTCAGGGCCTCTAGAGAATAACAGGCTGGGGCTAGAGCTGGGGGAGGCTTTGGAACTCTGCTCAGCAGACTCTGGAAGCCATTTCTCTTTTGAGGAATCATTCTTGATTCAAAGGAGCCTTCCAAATTCTGATCCTGCCTCTCAAACAAGCTATTTATCACTACCTGTGAGCAAGCAACCTTCTCTAACACAAAAAGCCAACTTTCTGGCCCAAACTGCAGGGGGGCCCTGACCAGCAAACATTTGCAGAGACATTCCCTGGGCAACTGACAGCCTTTCAAGCCACATCTGACAGGTTACAACTGCTCCTTGTAGCTTAAGGGTCACGGGGAGCTAAAAGCACTTGAAGCTCCTCCTGCGAACGAGAGACAGAGGCGAGCAGGCAGGGTGCTGCTGGAGTCTGACGTGCAATGTGCCACTTGCCCAAACAGCCCCTGATCACTCACTGACACTTCATGGCTCGTCTCCAGCTGCAGATGCCAGGATCAGACAGTTCACTCCGGAGCTGGAGGGAATAACTGAACAGCACAAACTGGAGCTTCACAAAGACAGACTCGTTGCAAGGAGCCCCTCTCTGCCAGGGCCCCCCAGGCTGGGTGTTTAGCTAAGCAACTTGGCTCAGGGTGGGGATGGCTGATTTCTCTCAGTCACCAAGCTCTCTGCAAACCAATCACTAAAATTCGGGAAGGGCTGCACAAACTGGAACCTCGCTGTTCCTTCTCAGTGGGAATCCGCAAGGGCTCCTCTCTCCTGTCCATGATACTGAGCACCCACTGTGTGTCCTGTGCCCGGTGAAGGCAGATGGATATCGTTTCTGCCTCTAGGACTACACACTCTTAAGAAAGACATGGGCAAGAAGGCACTTACAGTAACAAGTGTCATGCAAGCTTGCAACAGGCCAGCCACCTGCTCACCTTCCTAGCTTTGACTGAAGGTCTCCTCCGGGACCATTCTCACATCCTCTGTTTCCTTTTCCCCTGCGCCTCTCCCCTTACTGCCAGAGCCACCATCAGGGCATCCTCTCAGTTCTTCGAACTCATCATCCTGCCTTAGAGCCTTGGCCCATGCTAGTTTATCTAGAACATTCTTCTGGTTCCTTCAGGGTCAGGGGAGCAGGGAACAGGGGAAGATGAGCATACTCAGCCAGGTTGGGCTGGGCTATCTGGCCAGGGTGTTCTGGCCATGATCCTGGGCGGAGAAGCTGTAATTCACACAGCGGGTCTCAGGTTGGGGGGTGGAGTGTAAGGATTACAGACTCAGGTCAGGAGGAAGAACCAACATGCTTCTTTCCACTACATCATACATTTCCCGAGCACCTGGCACAGAGCCTGGTACATAGGAAGGGCTCTAGTGAAACCTGCTGAAAGAACAAAGGAATGACTACCAAACAGTAATGACAGTATCGAGCTCCTAAAGCAGATTACACAGGTCTGGGTCCAAGTGAGACAAACCTTCCGGCTTCCTGCTTTGTTACATATATTCCTTTTAGTGAGAAAAATGTGAAAAACAGGATAAGAGTCTACTTTCAGTGAATAAAAAGACATTACTCACATCAAGAAGAGTCAGTAGAAAAGCCTGCACAGCCTCATCGTAATCCAAATAAGCTTCCAAGGACAGCAGAGGGGACCCCCGGCCTGTGCCATCTCCATGGTGTAAAGATCAGACGGTGAGGGGACCACAGAGAATGGAAACCATGCAGCATGCAGTGGGGAACGGACAGAGGCGGGACCAGCATAACAGCCCAAGCCCAAGGACCACACAGCAACGTGGCCACAAACGCCCAAGGAATCACCATCTGCAACTCTTGTCAGCCCCGACTATATTCTGCAAATGAACCTTACACAGGAAACAAGGAGATAAAAGTGGGACAACTGTGGCTAGTGGGGATGGGAGGGTCAGAGCCCCACTCCTTGCCTCCCACCCATGTCTCATAGAAACTCATAGAAGAGTTGCACACAACTCTTCACACATAGCATTAAGAAGGGTACTGACTTATATTTGTTGAATAAGAGAACAAATGGGTAAACCCTTACCAATTTTGTGGTTTCTTTTTCTTCCATTCATTAACCCAGTGAAATGTCCATTCCCAAACACAGATGGACAACCTTCACCCAAGAAGACTATTTGGAATTCCAAGAACAAAATCTCCCTCCTTTACCCTGGCGATCCCTGCCCCCCTGCCTCTAATTCCTTTTGTTAGAGCCCAGATGAAAAGCTCCTCTTCTTTTCCTCATCACTCTAATAAGAATAAACAGACCCACTTTATCCCTAGTTCCTTTTTCTATGAAACCATTTTCTCTTCATTGGTTTGAGTTAAAATGACCAGTTGCCATACTAGCAAGCCCCCTCCCATTAGACTGCAAGGCCTGAAGTCCCCAGAGAAAGGAATGGCAGACCCTCGAGCCCCGGGTCTGGTGTCGCACTGGACACATTCTAGATACACAATAAATGCTGCTTAAATGTGTGCTGACATCACTCGCCTTCCTTTCACCATGCCATCCCTAAGACGTGGTGTCCCCCTCAAGGGTCTCCCTCATGTCTTGGCTACCCATCAGCTAGGTTGAATGACTCACATCTTTGGATCAGTTTGCCCCCTCATCTCCTCCAGGAAGCTGGTCTAGATTCACTTCAGGATCACATGCCATTCTTGGAATCACCCTTCTTCCCCTTAGCCCTTGATCACTCCAGTTACAGAGATCATAATGATTTTATCTCATCTCTTCGGTCAAAGAGTCTATTCCTGTGGCAGCTTATCAAAGGCAAGGCCCCAAGTCCATCGAGATTCACAGGGTCCCGTTTCCGCCCAGAGAGCCTTGTCAGAACAAGCAGACACAGTACTTCTTGATGACACACAAAAAAAAGACAGTGAAGAAAACTGACCTTGGATGTATAGGTGTGGCCATCGGAGCCACAGACCATGGCTGACTGTGCCATGGGGCAGGGCTTGCACTTGACCAGATTCGAAGGTCCGACCCAGTGCTTGTGGACCACGGTCCCCTTCTTTTGCCTGAGGATGAAAGAAAGAGGGCATAAGTAACTGATGCGCCAGTTTCCAGGGGTCTTTCTCCTCCAGGTTACCTGAATAAAGGCCAAATAAAAGAGGGCTGGTCAAACAGTCCAGCGCATCCCCAAGTCCCCTGGTTAGTACCCTCATTGAGTCCAGCTCACTGACAGCAGGCAGGAGACAGTTCCAAAAACCTAGGTTCACCCACCAAATGGACAGAAGAAAGCAATGTGGCCACTAAAAATGTTGCAAACACATGACTTATTTTTTTAATTGGAATATAATTGCTTTACAAGGATGTGCCAGTTTCTGCTATATCGTGCGGTGAATCAGCCATAGGTCTACAGATATCCCCTCCCGCTTGAACCTCCCTCCCACCTACTCACCCCCCATCCCACCCATCCAAGCCAACATGGAGCACTGAGCTCCCTGTGCTGAAGAGACATTGACAACACACTAGAAAGACGATGAGAAACTGACTCTGTCGGTTCCTCCAGCCCCCTGTGGAGGGTTGCAGATCACAGGTGTCCCCACACGGCATCCAGAGCCTCAGATGCCTCTGGGGCTGACGAGCGTCCTCCGAGGAGGAGGACACACAGACGACTCAGAGAATAGTCTAGATAGAAGCATGTCTCCAAACACACCCAAACGGCTTTATCACAGCTGTGGAAAAGCATCTCTGGATACGTTTTAAAGCAATTTCAGTCCAGCTTTCAATTTGCCATGCGACAGCGACTCTGAGGTGATGTCACTTTCAGCTGCTAAAATCATCAGAATTCTACTCTTTCATTCCTGCTCCAGCATCCCCCTAGCCTAACCTTTGTCATAATGATAAATGGCGCTATTAGGATGGCTTATGTCCACGGAAAGAGCCCTGTCCTCATATCATAAACCACCAAAATCAAGGCCTGCAGTTACAGCCGTCCTTCCTCTCTCAGAGGAGCTGCTTTCCCAGCAAACCACTGGGAGCCACGTCCCCGGCCGAGGGGCCAGGGCTGGGTGGTGGAGAGGCAAGTCAGGTGGGTACTGTGCCCTTGAGGCACTTGGCTTGGGCCATCCTGTGAGGGGCTTACTTGGGCTCCAGAGTCACAAAATACAAGTCCAAACCTCAGCTTTGCCACTTACTGTGCCACCGCAGCAGGGTATTTCACCCCGTAAGGCTCAGTTTCCTTATCTGTAAAGTACGGGAAGGAATAGTATCTCCTTCAAGCGGACAGTATGAGGATTAAAATGGATATGTATGTAAGTGACTCAGTACAATGCCTGGGAAAAAGGAGCAATCAAAATGTCATCACCATTATTATTGCTGTCTAGTCGCTACGCTGTGTCCTACTCTTTGTGACCCTATGGGCTGTAGCCTGCCAGGCTCCTCTGTCCACGGGATTTCCCAGGCAAGAATACTGGAGTGGGTTACCATTTCTTTCTCCAGGGGATCATCTTGATCCAAGGATTGAACCCACATCCCTCGCATTGGCAAAGTGGATTCTTTACCATTGAGTCACCAGGGAAGCCTATTATCATTACTATTTGCTCCATTAGATGGAGGTATAGGGAATGAAAGCACCATTGCCATAGAAATGTGACTTAATTCTAAGTCCCTAGGTCTGGAGTTGGCGCTGAACTCCCCAGAACTCACGGGCCACAAGGAGTAAATCTTTTCTGCCAAGTGTAGAAGGGATCTTCAGCACCTCGGGAATTCAGGTTTGGCAGCTGATGTGACCTACCCTCTTCCAAATGAAGGAAAGTGAGATACAAATGACATCCACCAACTTGGTTCTTATCCTACCTGAACCCTGTCCCAGCGATTTGTGGGAGGCAGTAAGAGGAAGGAGGTCTGTTTGGGGAATTATTGGGTTGGCCCAAAATTTCGTTCGTTTATGGGAAACCCAAATGAACTTTCTGGCCAACCCAATACCTTGGCAGTTGACAGCAGGAGGGTGACCACACACCCAATGCACAACACCTTAGAGAAACTGGGGACCCAGGCCAGACGGGGTCATAGACTGAGCCCATCTGAGCAATGAACCGGGAAAGGAAGTCCTATGAGGGCACGTGGGGATGCCTGGTCCAGATGAGTCATTTTACTCACAGGGCCAACTAAAGCCAAACTGGGGAAGGGTTTGCCCGCTGGAAAGGATCGGTGGCTAGGTAATGGTGACAACCACACAGCCACAGAACATCAGGAATGGCTTTCCTTCGACCCTCCTCAGACACACCTAGATGACCCACCTGAAAATTCGCTGGGGGCAACTACACGCTCACCAGTAGGGCTCCTCTCTCCAATGCCTCCCTGTTTCCTCAGCAGTTACTCACCTTGTCCCTGCCTCTCTGTCTGGAATAAAAACATCTACTGTCCACATTTCTAAATCACATGGATATGGGTCTCCTATTATCTTTAACCAAACACACTTTCTTCTTTCAAGATGTGTTCTGAACTATGGAAAAAGGGATGGGAGGGGACGGGACTCCACACAGCAAACAAGCAGGCTGCCGGCACAGGCTTTAATCTCGGAGTGGGTGATTCCTTCAGAAGAACACCACACATTTATCATCATTCTCACAGCAGATTGTCTGACGCTGATAATGAATCAGCAAATACAGGCAGCAGTTCTGTGTCTGGCAGCCTCTCTCCTGGGTCAGTCCCCAGCGTGTGTGCCCACAGCCAAAGTAATTCTTATTTTGAGTTCCCAGAAAGTGGTGATAAAGTCTAAAGAGTGGGCAGCTTTGCTGGAGCAGACTACCATGTGCAATGATGCCCCAGAGGAAGGCAGATGGCAGAAGCTTAGCCAAAGGCAGGAGAGAGAGAAGTGAACGCTGAGTCACTGGCATTGAGGAAAAGATAGAACTGCCTATTAATCACCAGCCAGTAATGATGGGTCATCCCTGTCTCTGGACCTGAGCTTCACCATTAAATACATTAGGGGGAGACAAAGAGATGAGGCTTTCTAGGGCTTCCTAGTGGTCCGGTGCATCAAGGATGCTCAATATAGCCTTGTTGGGTGAGTGGGTGGATCCCTGAGTGCTGACCACTGCAGTGGATACTAGCAGTTAATCACAAAATCACAGATTATATGAGCCTGAAAATCCCTTAAAATGAATCTAGTCTAAGGACTTTAGTTTATAAATGAGGAATTGGACACACAAGTGAATAGCAGAAGTGACGTGCCGAGTGTCACAAAGAAATACAGCCAAGTTACTTCATATACATTTGTCAGGTTGAAGTTACCCTGAAATTGACTGCATTTCTCTGGGACCATTTTGATTCCCTACTTTGGCATCTATATTTTCACCATCAGGGCTCAGTCTTACCAATAAAGCCCTTTTGAAACACTGTCCCTGACTCTACACCTGTGGAGGAGGAAGCTCTCTCTCATACCCCATGCCAGGCGGAGGAACCACCTCTGACCCTGGGATGTCCTGGGGACTGAAGGTACAAAGGCCAAACCATGCTGAGTTTTCCCAATTTTAATGACATAAGCATACCTGTTACATTCAGACAAACCCAAGTGTTTCTTATTCCACTAGGACTCTCTAGAAAACGGCACCTAAACCAGTAGTCTGGTCCAGAGGCCAAATTACACAAAGTAATGTACAAGTAGATGTGAGCCCAAGGAAGCATAACTTCCCTGGTTATTGTGTATATATTTCAATCCCCACAATTCAGTGCAAACCATAAAAAAATAACCGACCCAGGTGAGGCAAGGGACTAAGCTTTCAGACTCTCAGATATTTCACTTCTTGAGTCAATGAAGAGTGAAATCCGATGAAGGTGTCTTGATGGCACTGCTATTCCCAATGTCACAGACATTCATCAACTGGGGCGACACAAGCAATTTAGTCTGGGAGGCAGGTCCTGCCAGCCCTCCCTTTGGCCTCAAAACCCTAACTCCACCCCAGTCTGTCTGGTGCTGGGGGGCAGCCATGCCTCCTACCCCAATTCACGGCCCCACACAGAAAATCTCAACTGACAATGGAAGGCAATCAGTAGATCACCAGCATTGCTTCCTCTCTTTCGGTCAATTGCTTATCCTTAATCTTTTTTTTTTTTTTAAGTTTACCAAAATTCCCAGCATGTGTGTATGTTTTTGAAGCAGAGCGATGATTCTTAAGGACAAATCTGATGATGTGACTCCCATGCTTAAAGCCTCCATCTTCTCACCTCCTAGGGCCTGTCTGAACTTGTAGTTTCGGTGTTAAACAGACCGAGCCTATTTTCACTGGGCCACTGTCTGTCCACCTCCCCCCACAACTCTCCACCACACACAACCATGCATACACACACATACCTATGCATGTACATACACACATACACCATGTACACACACCCCCATACATGCATACACACACACCCCATATACACACATTCTAGCATGCAAACATGGAAACACACACACCCATGTATGCATGCACACATGTGTACATACACGCTGACCATCGAAACCAAATATTTTTGCTCCAGCCACTCTTTGCTACTTCCCAGAGCCCACCAAAGAACTCTGTGCCTTCATGTGGATTTTTCCCAGATCTGAAACATGTTCATTTCCACCCACGTTTCTCCCCTTCACTCCTGCCTGCCTCATAAGGCTTTCTTCAAGGCCCAATTCAAAACTCCCCTCCCCCAGGAAGCCACCCAGGGCCCTTCCCACAGGCAGGCAGGCTGCACTCCCAGTCCAGCATGGTCCTATGAACGCTTGTGGTCGCCAATAGTCTGTAAGCAAGCATCTTTATTAGGCTGGGTCAATGTTAAGACACTACTATGATTCAGACAGGACCTGGGATACACCCAAGCTAAAAGCCTTGGAGCCCATCCTGGACATTCCCCTCCCTGCCCTCACCACTTCTCCCCATCACTCAAGTCCTACAGATTCTATCCCCAGCCAGCCACATCAGCCCCTTACATGTGTCATGCGAACTCAAATCTGTATGACTTGGTAAATAAATGCTTTCTACCTATATAGCAAATGTCTGCCCCTTGTCCAAGCTTCAAATAGACTGCTTCCTAT